TCGAATAGGTGGCAACGCATGAAATGCAACCTCTATGAAGATGATGACTATGAACATGATGAATAGACTGAGACAGTCGTGGCTGCAAGAAGCAGAAGTATGGAAAACTAGCAGAAGATAATCAACAAGAGAAAGGAGTAGTAGCAAGGGCTGAGGTCTGATGATACTCAGTAGACAGGGGACGCGTCACGATCTACCTCGGTGCGGTTCTGCTGCATAAAAATTATAGCAAGAAGGAGCAGATGAAGTAGACTGCTCTGACTCGTCTAATTTTTCGTACTAGTATATTTATTCAATCACTCAAATAGAAATAGAAACTGTCGTCCTAGAAGTCAAGCGCCATACGGAGACGTTCAGCAGCCAGCATTCCTGCAGCTCCTCCACCTATAATGCCGACCGTTTTTCCCGTCTTTGGAAAAAAGTTGGCACAAGTCGGTGGCAAAAAAGAAGCCAAGCGTTGCATCTTGATGTTTCTTGTTACAGGAGCCCGAAAAAAAGCTTCGACTTCATCGAAAAAAGTAAGCAAGTTCCTAAGTCCTTAACCCATGATCTTCAGAATAAGCGAGAAAATGCTGTTACTGAAAGAAGAAGAGCCTATAAATATCAATTGACTCTCGTGATCCTATTTCAGTTTGTTCGCTACACCTACCACCGGCGCATCTTCATTCTTCGACTATTTAGTTCCTTCGATCTCGCGCTCGGTCCTTGTGCAGCTTTTTGCTCAGTTTCATTATAACAAGAGGCGTTCTTTCAAACAGGCGCTCTTTTAGCAGCTGCTATATCTTTGCCTCCAATTCCCAAATCCATAAACCTAAAGCGTGCTCCATGTGGTCCCTGATTCTTGAGGTCTCTCGTTCGTAATCCCACAGAGAACTTCTCTATTTCTTGTTGACAACAAGAACTTGTATCTATCATCTTGCACCTGCTCTTCCGTAAAACATAGTAAGTAGTTTATCAACATCATCCTTATCTTGTGGAGCTTTTTTGTCTTGAATTTCATATCCAGCTCCTCTGTTTTTAATACTGGAAGAAGCTCTGATGGTGATGCGAATGTTTCCCGCAAACTAGAAGAAGCTCCAAGAGCCCCACAATATCCTCTAGCAGACCGGGAAAGGTTCGGGTCCAGTCTGTGGCACAACCGGATGGACGCCACATATAGTCCCTTCCGAATCTATGAAACGGAAAAGTGTACTCATTATACAACAACTCAAGAAATTAGCCAGAAGCTATAATATAGTGGGAACCTGGCTGCCCAGTTATGTTTTCGCGAGTGTGTGGATGAGTACACTACTTTTTTCCATACTATTCAGGCTGAATTGGCCGACGAAAGTGTGGTGCATCATCTTTTAGAGGGCATTCCGTCTCAGTTCCCCTCTTCTATCGCATTAGTTCATCGCCTTTTCTTCGTCCAGCAGAGAGGAGATGAGCTGCTCTGCGCTGGAAGAAAGTGAGTCACTCATGAGCTATTTAATGAGCCACAAAATGAATTACTATCGTCAAAAAATATCTCGGAGAGAAATAGAAGCAGAAGGGCAGGAAAATTTGAACTGTAAAGGTGAATTACTGTGAGCCTTAAGTCTGGTCTTCCAACGGGCGTTGTATGAAGGGACGACTAGGATTTTCTTCTCCCTGCTACTTCTTCCTTCTTAGAGCAGCTCGCAAGATCTACACAGACGAGCTCTTGCGGAGTCCAAGATCTTCTGAAGTCCAAGATCTACACTCACGAGACAAAATCTATCACTCATGAACTAGTTGTGCCAGCCCTTCACGGAGTTTTTGATAATTAAAGCGTAGTTTTATCGATATCGGTTGATGAACTTTTTACCATCGGCCTTAACTTGATGCTCTTTCATCTTGGCAAACTTGAAGGGACGCGGGTATGTCGTGTAGTGTCTGCCCCTGTCGTAATTCAGATATTGTATGGCTCTGGTATTTGGTAACCTGAGTTTGATCCTAAGGGTTCTCTTCTTGTTTTCCCTTAGGATCAAATTCAGGTTACCAAATACCGGAACCATTCAGATATAGGTTAGTCATTGTTAATGAAATAATCAAGATCAACGCTACATATTCGTATCAGGAAAGTATCATGTGGTCGTTAATAGAGTGGCGGAACTCAGGAAAAAGAAGAAAGAGCAGGAGCAGCGCGCGGTATTTAAAAATAGAGGGAATTATATTATCATTCCCTCTATTAAATAAGAGAGCTATAGTTTTAGAATGAGGATCATGATTGAAGATGGGAGAAAAAAACACGTGAGAGACGCCTGCTCCTGTCCATAAGCGTGACGCCTTGTAGCAACGCGTTCGCCCGACCTTTCCACACGATCTTATGCTTCCCATCTTGTTTAACGGAGACAAGGTATTCAACACTTTCGCCTGCGTGCGTCAACGTTAGACGCCGTTGCCTCCATATTTTCATCAACAAGCCTTGCGTTGTATTATCGAGCCTGCACCCACACTCACAACTACTTCAAAAAGTGTAGAACTTAATCTCCTAGTTGACCTAAACGCTAAGAAACCGAAACCCTGAGCCCTGATCTCTGCCTTAATAAAACTACTTCTACTGCTCAATTATAAATTAATCATATTTTTATCTGAACTGCATTCAAGCAATAGCTACAACTGCGTCAAAAGCATGACGACACAAAAGTGGTTAAGTCAAGAGTTGGTTCATTTAAAGATTAAGAAAGATGCTCATGGTTATCAATCAGCATAAGCGTCTGAGCTCTTAAATGCGGAAGGGTTTCTATATGTCTTCATTATCAATGTCAAGGTATGCCAAGAGTGAATATGATCTATTAGATCACGCATATGCGACGTTCAAGTGCCGTAACTCCTCACTTCGTATTTTTAGAGCTCTCCGCACTTCATCGCTCAGCTCCGCCAACTATTTCCCTGTGAGACTCCCCCAGAAACGTTTCAAGGATGCCGTTGAAGATGAATTACGTACAGCCTTAATATGTGGCGATTTGTGAACTCGATATGAATCCGGAACTGCTTCATTTCCGAGTAATCTGTCACGCCTTTTAGGTCAAAGGTGACAAATTGGACCCTGCTGGGCGGACTGATCATATTTTAGCGGCTTCCGTGGCGTGGTATTGGCATAAATGATTAAGAAACGAAGGCCGATCGAAAGATACAGCGAAGAAGCAGAAAAGGGAAGAAGAAAGACCAATCATAAGTCGTACTATCACTATCTTCAAGACGAGCAGTGGAACTACTCGAAGTATCTGGGATCGATCGTTATTACCGAAATGTCTAAGATTAATATCAATCTCTCCTTTTATCCGAGGACCTACGAACAGCATGGAAGTACTTAGATAAGGGGGCCCCCGTGTAGGTGTACGCATTTGCTCGCTATCTGCATTATTCTTGATTTATATATAGTGTTAAAGTTAATGGAGTTTCGCTTTCGTGGTTATACATAGTTTGCCCTTAATGGTGCCAGCTCCCAGACCTGCATCCAGTTCTCGGTATTTGATTACGAGTGCCGTCTGGGCCCTGCGTGCTCATGCGCTTAGAGTGCTGAGTATATGCAAGACCGGTTGGGCATTCGCTTGGCTGCTGAGGATCAGAGCACGCGCTGACCGTTAAGCCTCCTTCGACCAGCTTTGAAGGATGTTTCCATGATAGAATGACTTTGATTGTGCCGCCTCCATTCTCTTCCTTGAAATTATTGTCAATTTCTGCCGTCGCTTGTGTCCATGCGTCGCCCGCGCCTTCCGGTATAAGCTCGGCGTATTTGTCACTGTTCTTGGGAGGACCAGGAGCATAGGTAAACTCCAGGACGTCCTTCAGCCATACTAGGCCCCAAAGACTCTCAGGTTTGCCGGCCGTAGTGCCCTTCCTCACAAACACAATTGGAACGCCTCCCTCCCTCTTGGCGATCGCGTCCGCCCCAGCAACTTGCTCGCTCTCATTAGAGAACACGACTGCCACCTCAGTATCAGAGGATGGCGCTTTGAGGTGTTACACAGTCCGCCGAGCCATCCACGCGCGCGCCCCTGATTCCAACTAGTGAAATTTCCAAAGCCTATTTATCTCGTACTCTAAGCCATTAGTCTCGAGCGGGGTCCAGATGCACTCTATGGAAAAAATTCGAGCTGCGCCTGCGTCTAGTAATGCCCTCAGCATAGCTTTGGCAGCTGTGGCAACCTGACTCTTCTTTGGTCACAGCGCTGCCGCTATGCTCGTCCAGCTTCAAGTCCCAGGCCCTGCAACTTGCTTCTACCGGAAGCAGAGACAGAGAAAGCACAGGACGGAACTGGAACCCACCGCGGCCCTGTCAGACCGGAGGCGCACCCATGCTCTCCTCACTAGTCACCTGCGCGCACACGTGGCGACACCCGTTGTGCACCTCGGTCCAGGTTTCTCGCGCTCCCCCTACACCCTAGGACGTCACAGCCGCGCTCGCTGATTGCCCTGCCCAGGCACGCGCCTTCCCCTTCAGGCTGGGGAGGCTGTGTCCCCACCAAGTCGAAGAGGCTTGGACACCTTCAGTTTCATCGCAATCAAGCCTCACGCCTCACTCGCTGAATGCCGACGGGCATCAGCGTGGCCCGTGGAAGGCTGCCGCGCCTCGCTATACACACCTAGCCACGGTCTCAAGACCCACAAAGCCCCGCAGAGCCTCCAGGCCTGTCACTCCTACCACACCGCCCAGCTTCTTCACCACCAGAGCGGCCTCCAGCCGCTATCCTCGTCGCGGCAGCCACGTGGCCGCGCCTTGGACTCCACAAGCCTAAGCCCCGCAAGGCGGAGCGGCTGTTCCTCCTCAACAGCAGAGCGATTCTACTGTGACGAGCATCCGCGCGCAGATAGCTCCCAAGCCTCTTTGACTCCTGTAGCCAACCTACCCGCAAGGCGCTCGCGCTACGTTGGTCCGCTGCTCCTACTTCAAACAGGACACGAAGAGCCTTGCCCCACTAGGTGGCCCCTCCCTGTTCGGGTGGTTCTGCTGTCTCAGGCACTCCAGGTTGCCTTACCCGCGACACCACAGAGCATCTCTAATCTAAGGGGCTCCGTTTTCGCCACTAGAAAAACGGCCGCAGCGTGTGGCAAGTTGCCTTACTGTGAGTCCGGTAGTTACGATATTCCGATACAACTTTCCCCATGCCCTCCTTATTTTCTATCACTACTTCTACATGTAAATGCAATTAACTACTTCACCTTGCAACATTGCGCAACGTTTTTCGTTGAGAAGATGAAGCATCAACTGCGTGGAGGTGGCGAGCCCCTGACAATTAAATTTCAATGATGCTGGGAGGAAGTAGATGCAAACTTCGGCTTCAGCGTCTTCTTCCAGCTTCTATATATAACCTATGCTGCATTCATGTTCATCTTAACATTTTCTCCCACGATCTCTAGAGTGGCGCGTGGATGAGACTTGACCAACACATGGAACGGGACATCAATCTTTAGGTCCTTGTCAGACCTCCTCGTGTTCCGGATCCTAGAAAGGTCATCCTCAGTGACCCTTTATATAAAAGCTCTGGGCTCGTCTATTCTTGACTGTCAATTTATAGACAAGTCAGACCGCATAACAGCAGGAGCAGCCTGACTTGGGACGCATCTACTTCAATCATGGGCACCGCGGCTCAGGATTGGCAAAGTAAATGAACAAGCAGAGTGCTAGTAGCCAAGAGAAAGAATGTCAAGAATAGCGAGAAATATGGCCAAATGCCAACAATAGTCTACACGTCGACCTTCAAAAAGTGACCTCTAACGCCGATAACTTTATATTCGTCCGAGGTCCATGGGTAACCCTTCGGCTGGATGTCCTTGTAGCCTCCGTTGAACTGCGCATACGTGTTGACTATGACTCTTTATGAAGGGTGACTCGACTGATTGAGGAGGAGTGACGTGCTCTGTTATCTAATATAAATATTATAGAATATCTAGTAGCAAAAGTAATATGACCACGATACTCATCGCGTGAAGGTGTTCAGTTCTGTTCTTGCCTATTTTCTTGGGATCACTCGCCAAGAGCATGGAATATGGAGAAGCGGCGTCCTCAGCGACAAAACAGAAGACGCCGCCTCCTTTATAATTAGCTCTCCTCAATCAGTCACGTCATACCCTGTACTTTCCAGACGGAGCGCACTTCTGAAAAACAACGTTCTCCACTGGCCGCGGAGTGTCCTCCCTTGAGTCCACGTCCAACTTTCCGCCGCTACATCGTTTGTCATGGACGCTGATTCGGTAGCCAGGGGCGGCGCACAGCGGCCGCATAGGGAAGTCTCCGGGTGGAACAACCCACAAGTCTAAGTCTGCACGACCGTCCACAGGATTTAGAAGGTGAAGCGAAAGTCGATAGAGTATTTTCAAGATATTCTAGCTGTAAGTCTTGCGAGAAAAATAGACTCAGTTTTTGCATGCATTTGCAAGAACTAGCAAAACAGTAAAAACATCGAAGACAATTTCGATTACTCGAAAAAGTAAGTAAAAGGAGCGAGTTGCGAAAGAAAATGAAAGCGAGAGCTACTCCCCGTGACATGGATGCCGATAAGAAACGAGACTCCGTCGGCGAACCCAAGGACGCTGCCCAAGCCGAGCAGAGAAAGACAGACTGGAGCAGACCAGGCGCAACGTGAACGCGACGCCCAGCCTAGTAAGGAGGAGGCCTTGTAGCGGCCGTCCGCGTCGACGCTTACCCCGAACCGTACGGCGGCCCGGATGCGGGCCAAATGGTGGGAGGAGGGAGCCCTACGTCCCTGAAGACGGGGGGGACCCTGTCTGCAGGTCGAACGGAAGACCCAACAACCACCGCCCCACCCTAGCGCTAGGGGGTGGAAAGCGAGGAGGGGGGCATACGGTGCCCCATCTTGTGACGATGAGCAACAGAATGGAATCTGGGGGGGAGAGAAGAGGGGGAGGGGGTCGCAAGGTGGGCAGAGGAGGCTTCGTGGGGGAATGTGAACGGGGTGAAAATGGTGTTGAGAGTGAAAAAGAGAAAAGTGAAATGGGGAGAAGTGAAAAAGGGCAAAGTGAAGGAGGGGAGAAGGAAGTCAGGGGCAAGGGCCTCACGCGACCCCCCCTCTCGGGAGGATTTACAGGAGGCGAGAAAGGGGAACGAACAGAGGAAGGGCAGAGCAAGAGGGAGACAAATAAGAGGAGGACGCGGGCCGCTCTGTGGCGAGACGGCCTAGTGGAAAAAATAATGCCGGGTGATGGGCATTGTGGTTATCATGCAATCCTGCATCAGCTCCAGAGACAGGGGCTGGCACCGCCAGGGGTGGCGCAAATGAGGGACGTGCGTGCATTCGTTGCGGCGAATGTGTGGAGGATGGAGGAAGTTGAAGCAGGGGCAAGGGCAGACGTAAGACAAAAGAACTTGGTGGCGCAGGGTCTGCGATATGCACCGCGGTGGACCTGGATGGGAGGGGAGGGCCTCGCCATCATATCAAAGACTCTGCGGGTGCGGATCGTTGTGTATGACGTTGCCTTGGCGGGGGGGTCTTATGTCATTGGGGACGAATATGGAGAGCTGTCGCCGCGTATAGCCGTGGTTTTTACGGGAGGGCACTACAGCTCGACCGCTAGAGTGGAAGAGCGTGAGGGTGAGGGTGTGGCGGCTAGGGTGGAGGAGCGTGAGAATCGTGGCAAAGGGAGAGGGTGGCCCGGTGTGGTAGATAGGGGGTGGCAGTGGCCGCAGAGGGGGCCCGGCTGCACGGAAGGGGTGAAAAGGTGCAGGGAAGAAGCAGGCGGGTTAAACAGGGAAAAGCAGCCAAAGAGGCGGGTGACCCGCGGCGAAGTGGACAGGGGGGGCCCATCTGTGGAAAACAAGGAAGGGAACGAAAGCGAAGCCATGAAGGGGGGGGAAATGGCAAAGGGGAAGTTGGGGAGAAGGATGGGAAAAATTGAACACAAGTGGGGGGCGGTGATCTTTCAGATCACGGACAGAAAGTCCCGCAGCGCGGCGGGGGTGACGGCGGAAATTTTTAGGGAACACCCCCAAGCGGATGAGTATCAGGAGGGGAAAAACATGAGAAGGACCCTGGGGACGGCGATCGTCTACGACCAAGCAGTGGGGGGCAAGATCGTCAACATCTGCGCAAGAGAAGGACCCGGGCCGCCGGGAAGGGGAGAGACGCAGGCAGACCGCTTGAGGTGGTGGAGAGAGGGCCTGGAGGATGCCAGGAGGCAGCTCGGGAGGGAGATAGAAAGGGGCTCCTGCTTCTATTTTCCACATGCTACAGGGTGCGGGCCTGCCGGTGGAAGGTGGGGGCCGTTCAAGGAGGAGGCGGAGCCCCTCGCCCGGGAGGTGTGCCGGGCAGGTGGAGAGGTGGTCGCGTTGAAGAGGCCGCAAGAAAAAAGGGTAGAGCGGGCGAGGATGCTCAAAAAGATAAGGCAGAAAGAGCATCGGCAGGAGGTGAAAGAGGAGAGAGCACTGCGAGGAAAGGTGGTGACGGTAACGGAGAAACAGCAGGGAGACAATGAAGGAAAAGAACGGGCAGAAGGGTGGACAGAGGTGAGAAGGAGTGCAAGGGGGGGCACAAAGAACAGGCTGCCGATCCAAGAGACGGGGGGCAAGATTGAGGAATGGGGAAAGGGGGTGGTGATCATGATCAGGGCAAAAAAAGGGGGAGAAAAGAGGGCAGCGGTGCAGAAGGTG